TTTGTTTTTCACCCTGTCATGAGGCATTTTACTACATAGGCTGCATATGCACTGCTAGCCTCTCCTGTGATGCTGTGCTAGCTTAAACAGGCTAATATATGTGGATTTAACCTTGCTTGTGTATGCGTGGAAAGAAAACCAAGTGGATTTTTCTGTACTGCCTGAGCTTATACAATTTTTAAAAAAAATGTGTGTTAACAATAGAATGTCTAAGAAGTAAGCCAGACAAATGAGTCTCGTTTATATTGTAGTTGTAAAAGTTAATTCAACGACACTGCTATCGATAAATATGAAAAACGGACATACATAACCCCTAACGTTTTAGGTAAACTAAGCAGTTCTCCGTGCGTGCGCAGCTTGACACTGCAAAAGTGAAGACAATCCAAATATTAAAAATAAAAACAACATACCTCATTTGGTCCGTCCTGTCATGCAATTCCAAATCCTTCCACGGTAAAACAGCCGCCCTCACAGTCACTAGAGCGGATAAATAAACTTAAACACGCTTCTGCTGCACTCACTCCCTTCTCTGTGTGCGTGCAGGGGACTGGCGCCTACGTCATGACGTACAGGTACGCCGACCGATGCTCTATCCTGAATGCTTCACTCCTTCACTCGCTCACTGCGCACTGTGTAGAAAAACATGCAGTTCGCACTTTGCAGGCAGCGAAACAAGACGAGGAGTTCGGACCATACATTCCAACACACGCTTTTTCAGTAACGTAGCAACATCCAATGATTGAGGGGGAGGGGCTGTTTTGGAATCGCCTCCACGTGATGGGAATCGATGGAGTCGATTCCAAGAGTCAATTCCACGCAGTCATTTTCAAGGGATCTTAATTTCCTCAGTAACACAAGATTTTAGTTTAATTATATCTTAGAAAGGCAGCGTAAATCTAAATTAACTTAGCTGACCACTGAAACCAAACTGACTTGGGTACAGCCCTGTTAAGATGATTATAAGTCACTTTTTACACAATTTACTTTTTGTTTTGTTTTTCGACTTCGTCCAAAGTAAGACAGGCTGTCTAGGCAGTGACATCAACGCACACACAACTCCCTGTGCGTGCAGGTGCGAGCAAACCTGAACGTCACTGTGGAATCGGGTTCAAAGCTTTGGAGTCGACTCTCGATTCGCACATGCATGGAATCGGAGAATCGATTCTTTTCGGCATCGACACCTAGCTTTAAAGAGGCGAAACTTGAAAATCAGCAAGCAAAACGCTTTGCTAAAGTTAGCATTCATAAGCTAAGGTAATTACGTTTTAAATTAATGGGAGATTTCAACTGACATTTGATGACGATTATAAAATGCCAATTTCTCCAACAGGGTGTGAAACTTCTTTTGTGACACTGCAAACCTGTGAAAAGCCCTTTTTTGCTCTTTATTTCTCACTGACGCTTGTAGAATGTCTTTGGACGCAAGTGCGGAAAAATCTGACTTCCAGAATAGTATTTTAGAGGATAATGCTGTAACCCAGTGTGGGGAAGACCTGCTGCATCAGCGTGCGTTCATACATTGTTTATAGTTTGTTTTAATCATATAATTTGTCAGTGTATAGACACACAAGGCAAACGTTGCAAACAGCACAGAAAGCCCACCGTGCTGACAAGTAAAACAACAATTAGGAGTGAAATTAATATATAAAACAAAATAAAACAAATGGCAGCTTAATGAGGGTCTTTGTCAATCAACAAATATCATACAATGAAAATTAACAGTCTATGGGCTTTTTTGTTTAGAGGGTGCTCCCAAGTGACTCCAAAATTAATTTGTTATTACTATTGTTGTCAAAATGAGCGAGTTAATACGGAGCATTTGTGCAAAATCATAGTTTATAAACGCTTAAACTACAATTTAAAACTACATTTAAAGCATAAAACAATGTAGCACCGCTGTTGGATTTTTAAATGTTTCTAAACTTATATAAGTTTAAAATTTCGCCTCATGTATCTTATGACGTCAGTGAGCATGAACAACCAATGAGCTGCTCTGCTCATCAACCAATCAGCACTCAGTAGCAGTAATGCTAGCGTGCTGCTGCCCAAAACCTGTTTGCTGTAGAAAAAAAGAAATATGCAGGTAAGTTTTCTTTGCTTTTTTAGTGAAATACAAACTTCTACTTTCTAAAAGTAAAAAGGAAAGTTCTTGGCAAGTGATTAGAAACTATTTTAACTTCTCGGGTGCCCTCTGGCGTTTTGCAGTCATGTTTTTGATATAATGGGGGAAACAGGAAGAGGCCAGGCTCCTCATAAACCGGCTCTGCCCTTTCGAACACACGTAGTACAAATCGGGTTTCCGGTTCAAAACGGGTAGTGAGTGACAACACACAATCTAAAACTAACATGTCAAACACATTTCTTAAACACACTACAGTATCATTAATTATTTTAAAAGTCACTTCTTTTGTGTTTGGATAGACCAAATATGTTTCCTAATATGTTTAGCCATCTCCTCCTTGTGATCCTTCAGAAGAAATTTTCTTCTCAGCTGACAGGGGAAGTATATCTTTAAAAAAGTTCTTATGAATGTATAGTTGCCTTCTCTGACCTAAAATTACAACCTTTAATACACAAAGTACACGTCTGGAGTACTGTTACAGTACATCACAATCTGTTCTATGATTATTTACAAAGAAATC